TCTTCTTCTAAGTTTTTATTTATTTTATAGTTACTAAGTTTTTAAACTAGGTTATAAGTTATTTATCTAGTAGAGAAGCTTAAAGTAAGTAATTTACTAGAAATATAAGAAGATATTTTATTTATACTATTTAGTAAGTATAAATAGTTAGCTTACTAAATAGAAGTAATTAAAGTGTTATAGTTAGCTATCTAATAATAAGGTCTATTTAATAAAAGCTAGAGATTAATATATAATAATAGTATACTAAGGTTATAGTCTAAGTTATAGGTTATAAGCTTTATTATAAATCAGTTTTTAGAAGCTAAAATAATTAATTTTAAACTTAATAAGTTATTTATAGTAAAAATAAGCTAAAAATATCCTAAAGATAAATATAAAATTAATTACTAAAAAGCTATAGAAATTTTAACTATAAGCTAGGCTTAAGTTTATATTATATATAAACTTAGTTCTAAATATATTCCTTTATATTTTAAATCGTTTTAAATTAGTTTAATTTCTAATAATCGTTTAGTCCCTAAATTATACTAAATTATTTTAATCTAAAATAATCGTTATTTTATCGTTATATAACTTATACTATAGTTCTTCTGTTTCTAAATAAGTCCTTACTGTTCTTATGATCCTGTAGTATAAATGTCCTATTCTAGCCGCTTAATGTTACAACCCGAGAACAAGGATAACAGATAACCAACCCACTTGGACGTTAGGCGGCTAGGACAGGACATTTGTACTGCAGGATTATAGGAATAATAGGGACTCACTTAGAACGGAAGAACTATAGTATAAGTCATATGATAATAAGATAAGAAAATAATTAGTGGAGTATAGGAGGAAACGCTTAGTGATTAGTTAGTCTCACTAACTGATTGCAATCACCTCACATACTTAGGCGATCACTTTAAAAGCAGATAAAGGATACTGTTTAGAACTTATATATAGTATAACCTTAAGCCTAGCTTATAGTCAGACTTCTATAGCCTTTTAGCAATTAACTTAATATTTATCCTTATAGATACTCTCAGCTTATTTACACCACTTATATCAGCTAAATTAATCACTTTAATAAACACCTTAAGCTACCTATAAATTAAACACCTTTATAGATATATTAAACTACTAATAAAAGCAGACTAACTAAGATAAGAAAAACTATTAGTCTGCCTAGAAACCTTAAAATATAACTAAAACTCCCTTAATAAGAAATTTAGAGTGCTAAGATTCTAATTAAGGATAATCTTAAGGTTTAATATGCTAAAACTACTTATAGACTAAACCTCTAATATAAGAGAAGCTACTAGCTCCTCTTTTATAACCTCTTAACCCTTCTAAAGCACTATTCTTTTCTGCTTATATAAATAATCTAACTATACTATAGACTTATCTAACTCAGCCTATATAGTATGCAAAATAGCAGCTTTCTTCCTTAACACCTCCTTTTTAGCCACCTTAATATCTTCTAAATAAGCAGCCTTATTAAGTAAATAATCTACTATAATAAAGTTTAGTAAGGCATAATAAACTAAAAATATTAAGAAAACTTATAAATATAAATAATATTTACTATTATATTATATAACTACCCTAAATAAGTATACTTACTATAAACTTCACTATCAAGGAGAAGCTTATAATACTTCCCTAAAGAATAGTAATAAAAATAAGATATATTAACCATAAAACTAAACTTAGTAATATATAAGTATAGTTATAATAATACAAAATAGAAGTAACATTTAATTTCAATTTTTAAATATAACCTAATATAATATCAGCATTATAATAAAATTAGGAAGCATAATTAATAGATTTTTAACCTAAGACTAATAACCTATTTACATTAGGTCTTAATGATAAGACCTTTAGAGAGGGGACCTAATATTATAACCTGAGAATAAGGATAATAGATAACTAACCTACTTAGACGTTAGTATTACGACCTGTTATGCATGGATAACAGTTGACCGACCCCACTTAGGCGTCAGGCGGCTAGGACAGGATATTTATACTCTGCAGGATCATGGGAACAAGAGGGACTCACTTGGAATGGAAGAACTATGGTATAAGTCACATGATGATAAGAAGGACCAACAAGAGATAAGCGGTCCTAACTTAGGACTAACATAGAGAAAGCAGTCTACACCTAGGGACTGCTTAGAAAGATATTAGTCCTTAGAGTAAGGAAACTACCTTAGACCTATATATAATATAACCTTAAGCCTAGCTTATAGTTAGACTTTAATAGCTCTTTAGTAATTAACTTAGTATTTATCCTTATAGATACTCTCAGCTTACCTTTACTATAAATTAACTTAGTATTCATCCTCATGGATACTCTCAGCTTACCTTCACTGCGAATTACTTATTGAGCCTAAGACTGATCACCTTAGCCTCTGAAGACCGATCTACTACCAGCCTACAACCTACGACCAGACCACAACCCTAGTGTACTGTTATAACGTGTCAATCCCCAGCTTCTGTTAGCAGACCCTACTGTCGGATAGCTGACTGTAACACTTAACGCCTAAGTGGGTCGTTCAGCTGTTACTCCTGTATAATAGGTCGTAATATATTACCTTTATTTAAGCTATAATATAGTAGTTAAAGAGACTAACTTAGGTTAGAGTAGAGGAAAAAGGGTCTTTATATTCCCTTTAGTTATATAAAAATTCACAAAAGAATTCTTCATAAATTGACGAGTGGAGAGATACGCAGCCCCGGACCGCGCAATAAGAAAAAGGTTGGACGGAAGTACGCCTTCTATCAGACGGCAGCAACATAGCCGAACTTTTTCAGAATGGTATGTCTAGATGGAGTTGTGATGCAGGGCGAGTATGGATTCTCCCGGTCTGTGGACGTCGGCTTTTTGCCCGATGATCTCGTTGCCGCACCTGCATACGCGGAGATCGGGGTGATCATTCCCACCGCTGCCTTGTACTCGGACACACACACTCTGTTGCTAGAAGGGACCACTGGCTATCCTATCATACTCGGTCACAGCTTTCAGTTTGAATTTCGCCAACACCCCTTCCTAGGGCTTGTGGGCGCATGTTTGAGGTTCGAGTTCGACAGCAACCACATTTGGACCGCCCCTCTTAGGCTTTCAGAGCTGGGCCAGGCAATGAAGCATGCCCATGGACAGATTCAAATCCATTTCAATGAATTTATCTGCGACTTCCACTCGACCGAGCCCATCATGTTTTCGGGCCCCCCAAACATAAAGATGGTAGACTTCTCTGAAGAGAGCCTTTCCACTTTGAAAAACTCCGTGGATCAGGCTTTCCGTCGCGCTTCCGGCACCCCGAGATTCTTCCTCCCAGAGAATTGGATGTTGGAGAAGTACCAAGTATCGCTTGCTAGCAACTTCTTGTTAAGGGCGCCAGAACATGTACCCGCAATATTTCCAATCTCGAGGTTGGGCGTCAACTTGGGGCTTGTTCCTCTCGCACTCGATGGGAAATACTGGACAGAGGTAGATCTCGACGACGTCGAAGAAATGCTTGAAAGGTTTTACTTTTGGGACGTAGCTGCGAAGCCTCTAAGGCCAGGGTGGAAACGATTCAGATGGTGCGACCAGAATGAAGACCTCGTGAAAAATCACCGACACGAAGGATTCGGTGAACCGCCCAACGGATCTCAGTCAACTGAGGAACTTCTGATCGAAGGCTGCAGAACTGCACTTTACACTTGCCTTAACTTACTCCGGTCACCGTTCAACACGAAGCTTGAGTTTGCGAGGGTCCCTTATTTTAGTGTGCAACTCCGGGAGCTTGCTCTAGCTCAGCTGAAGGAGGTGGACGAGTGGCTTGACACCAGTTACAAGAACCGCCAGGGCTATGAGATCGTCAATGCCCATGCCAGTCTTATTGGCACGACAACAATGTTGCTTTTGGAAGCTGCGGAAGCTACACGCAATGGGATCTTTCAGAACCCAGCGAAAGCGAGAGATCCCGACCTATTGCCACACTCCAACCAAACAACTTTTCGGAATGCCGCGGAAACTGGATCGAAACAAAAATCAACAATCACCACTTTGGAATCTTACGGCGATACTCTGGTGTCCATTCGCCAACTTCTAGACCAATTCAGCTACATTAAGGCACATTTCGGCTTGGAGGGGTCACATTCTAGCTTACGACAGTCCGTGGAACAAGGACTTGCTCCGGTGGTTTCGAAAAGAGGCGGATCACTATCCTGCCTTAATGAAAGACCCAGCAGACAATATGACAAGACAGGAACTCGACGACTATCTTGTGGGCCTTCACGGCCAGTATGAAGCCCTGTCAGGTTCAGGATACAACAAGCCAGAAAAGTATTCCAACACTCATCAGGCTTTAGATAGGCTTGGTGAAATTGTGATATATCACTCAGAAAAAGAAAACAACTGGCCATTGTGGGATCGTCACAGTATATACAAGCTGGACGACGAAGGAAGAGAACTCGACGATGTGATTATTTATCGTTATCTCCTTGTTGCTCTTCTTTTCCGAACCGCGGTAGATAGTACCGAGATACTCAAGTCAAGCCTGTGGGGGCAGGTTGTACCTATTTTATAAGGGGAGGTGTATACAAGGATCGAAGAATAATGGATGGGGTTCTCTGTGCCACAATTCATAATTGCCGACAACGCTTTGCTATGCCCTATATTCTCATGTCATTCACTGGCAAAAAGTGACCGCCTAATTTTCCTGTGTCTGCGCGGCTATATTTCCTGTGCACTTGGTTACTTTTATCAAAAGCGATAGTAGCGATGGCGATAATGAGGACGGGGACGAGGACGAGGACGACTACAACGATAGCGACGATAATAGTAGAAGTAACGATAACGACGACAACGACGACGACGGTAGTAAATTAATTAGAGTACAGTCACAGGAAAAGCAGCCGCTCTAGCACAAGACAAATAGGCGGTCGCGGCAAAAATAGCGGGCTCTTCCTCAATCTGTGCCTATGATAGGGTTTCAAGAGGCAGTAACCTTTACTCACCTTGAAATCTTTTAACCCAACTCTGTATTCCTTGACGCTGATAATCCCGTCCCAATCCAAACACTTCTAGATTGCTTCAATTCGACGTACATCAGGTATGGAGACGTCGCTGAGATTATCGGTAACCCAGTGAATGTTTCCAGTGCAACATTGCACAGGAGAGCCGTTGGGATGTTTTTGCGTGGTTGAGGGATCTCGTCCGTGAGATGGACCACGGCGTCGAGGCATGAAAACGCCCAATTTGTCGGGCTGAGGCCTATCAGGAACGCCACCCCGTTGGGACACCGAGAAACGTAGTAGATCTCAGCAAAGAAGTTGTGAGCTGTCTGCTTCTCGGATCTCCCAGCTAGAAGGGCTACGAAGACGGCGAAGACCATTGAGCATGTGTACAGCAGGAGCGTCTTGCTAACCCAAGGTGGCAAGCGTTCGAAAAGGTTAAAACTGGACGCGAGGATGTCTATGTACTGAAAGCCATAAAGCCCATCCATGGATGATATACGAACCCTGGATTTGCTATTGCGACCATGCTGAAGATACTGAGGGTGACCACCAGGCAGACGGAAGCTGAGACGCAGACTGCGCTGGCCCAAGTGATGACTCCAGTCAGGTATGACAGAGGACGTCGGATTGGCCTGCGGGGTAAGGCAAGGCGGAGCGAGTTCGCCGAGGCTGATGACCACAGCAAAGCCAACAATCGTCATGAGAATGAAACCGTAGAAGACGGGCGCTCCATCAAAGTTGATCTCTGTCGATAGCCCGACGGTGATTGATCCAAGATCAATGCTCTTCGTTCTAAAGCATTATACGAGTTTGAATATATGACGTCCTGATCCCTGAAAAAGGTTCGAGAGCCGTTCCAAGGCAGTCTTTTCCCCGTTGCCTGCTCCAGCACGAATTTCACGAACATCACGCTGGTGTCTGGTAGCCCAGCTCCTCATGCTAGGCTCTGAGTTTGTATGCTCTGCCGAGGTTGCAAAGCCCTGAGAGAACCCACGCTCAACGAAACGCACGTACCCAATCCGCTCATACTCAGCCTCGCCAGTCATCGATGAACCTTTCTCCCGAATGATGAGACACGCCATCTCAGGACAATTACCGGTCTTCAAGCCGAAGTCCGTGATACGGATGATCTGAACAGGCGTCGACCATGGTCCTGGTGTGTTGGTAATCGGTGTATCCAACTGAAATCCCCGAGTATGTGTGTCACCTTGAGCCACCCACATGTCTCCAGTTACAAGCCAAATCGGACTGCATCCGTATTCAACGAAGACTCCAGGCCACTTAACAAGAGTTCCATGGAGAGCGTAGGTCGACAGCAAGAGATGCGCGGAGCTAAGCTCTCCAGTAGGATCAATACCAGCAGGAACACACACAGCTTCCAAGACCTCTGCAACAGGGGCATAATCTTCAGTCCCTGTTTTGCCCAGAGAGAACCAACTTCCTTTCCCAGAGTTTAGACAATCGGAGTCTGAGTCAAAACGGAGAAGTTCTTGGTGTTCATGTTCGAGAGAAGCCCATGACCAGGTGGGTGCTCTCCACTCATCGGGCCTCCGTCCAGGCTTGTATACAAGCCAGAGCAGATCCAGATGAATGGAATCTCTCCAAAGTCCAGCGAAGTATTGGTCTTGATATTGTGAGTTCCACATCTTGGCAATGCCAGCGAGAGCAGGGAACCTGTCCTTTGAAAAGGTCAAGTTAAGTTGTGCGTATTGTTTCACCGCCTGTCTCCAAGCCTTCACACTTTGACCCCATTGAGGCGATTGAAGGAGCGAGCTCGAAAACTTGCTGTAATCAGTTTTCATGTCGGTGGTGTCGCTGGTCACTTCTGCAAGCTCTCGGCGTTTCCCTTTGAACTTCCCGTTCAACTCTGCTAAGCTGCCGGCAAAATGAATCTTGTCGGGCAAGACGCTCGCCCCAGACGAAATTTGGCCGCACTCGCAGTTTCTCGCTGAATTGCACTCCCAATTGACCTCCGCGCCGGCAAAGTGCACGACTCTCGCGGAAAGTAGCCGTTCTTGATACACCCAAGCCCGTCGAGAAATGGGAAAGAAGTCGAAGAAGCCATCTATGTGAAGGAGATCAGAGCAGACTTGTAGCGGGAAATCCGTGTCATCAACATCATTGACAAGCGAAAGCTGTTGGGCCTGGTACTTTGGGTCTGGAGACGAGGTGTAGAGCCCCCGACTAGAGTCGGTCGCCTTAGAAGCTGCCAATGTCACGTAGGCATGCTGGTAGACGTTTGCCATCTGAGCTGCTTCTTTTTGCCAGTCCAGGGAGTCATCTTGAATGATGCAGAGGGAGTCGATCCATATGTATTGCAGACCGAGCCTGCGGGTGAAGTCGATGGCGTCTTGGAACGTCCGCGGAAGTGTTGACCAGGGAATTCCACTCTTGAACTGGGAGAAGTTGTCTTTGAGCGTGCGCACCAAAGGCCGTTTGCCCCACGGATGACTCAAGCATGCATATACCCCCGTGGACTGTCCTGTCTCTTGTAGGCGTATGTCGTCTTCCCCCGATCCAACGTCAATGACCCGTGTCGGCAACCTGGCGATTTCGGCATTACTGCAAAGAGGATGGGTGGACGTGCACTCATTGATCCAGTCCGTGATCGTCTGTAGTGTCTCTTCCGAGGCTGTATTGCGAAGGATGGGCTTCACGTCGCCCGAGGGCCCTTTGCCACGCCACAAGTTGGGGAACCTTCGCAAACGAAGAGCCAGATCGCCGTCTGCCAGAAGTATTAGTAGGTAGTCACCCGTGATGGAACAGCTCTTATGCGACGCGAGTAATGAACCTACCATCGGGGACACAAAAGTAAATCGAGTTTCCCCCATCATCGCGGATGGCCTCCGGCGTACGTGGATAGGGAACCGTCCATTTCAGGGACCGGCCCTCAATCAAATAGTCGCCGTAGAGCTTCCAAACAGCTTCGTAAAGGAGGGTGCAGAATGGGCAGCCATTTTCCATCTCTTGTCTCCACAGATCTTCATTCTCCAGGCTCATTTTGCAGCCACGATGCCAGCCCTGACCAGCGTCATTTTTGACCCGCTCACACCATTCCAACAGCGCACTCAGTAGAATCGGTTTGAACGCGAGGGGACTAGCTTCTAGAAGGCGTCGAGACGGAGCTTGTTGATTCTCGACAGATGAAACGATTGAGCCCATGATGGCAACTAAGAACTCACAGAGATTTTGGCTCAAGTTTACAGGCCGTGACGTTGATTGCGATGTCAGGTGTTGCTCCCTCCCCTTTCACCTAGTGCGGCTGAAAGCCCGAGTCTTGCCTGACCAATCGGTTATCGGAACCATTTTCGTACTCCAGCAAATCAGCCGCTTCTTTCGCTCAGCTGGGTCTTGGCTCTCATGACATGCAGATGGCATCTGTCCAATGAAGACAAGTCAATTTAACTGGGATGGGGTGGATCATCAGCACAATAGAGAATGTGTAGCTGGGATGACAGCTGGGCCCCTCAAACAATACGGACCTTGAATATGGTGCAAATCCAACCGTCTGACGAAACTGGCAAATTGCTGGTGCCAGGTAATTCAGTATGAACTGCGAAAATGGTAGGAGAATTATTCGAGACCACGACGATGATGGAGATTGGTGCCGTGTGCCGACATTTAAATGCGCCTACTCGAATAGCCAAGAATAAAACATCGAGACGTTCGGATGCGCGACTTCAGACGAACACCAGAATACCTTACTTTGGTCTGAAAGCTGGCCGGGGGTATATTTAGTAATACCTTCACATGAAAACATGATTTTAATATCTAAACAGTCACCGGAAGCAATTAGAGTCTTATTTGTGAAGAAGAAAAGTTAGCGGGCTACAGGCTTCAATATATCCCATGCCAGCTGCCCCTTAAGATCAATAATCAACTTGATGTTGTTAAAACAGGGAAACCATGAATCGTGTAATATTGTCCAACCCTGCAACACCATATGCCGTCCCAACTAACTCAAGCATCCAGGACCCCGTGCCCCTCACCGAGACCGAGGAACCCGGCATCAGCATTGCAGCGGCGATGTAACGCTGACATGACATCCCCTCTCTCCACGGGTATCTTACTGCATCTCTCCGTCTTTAAACGGCAAGAACACCACTCTCAGGCCGCCTGAAAGCCTGGATTACCCCAACCGACTGGGCCCGTGCCTTGCTCCCGCATGCAAGGAACACGAGGCCATGGATCTCGCCCCGGGGCCGGACACGCGGAGAACCTGCAAATTAAACTAGACGACAAAAGCAACGCTCGAGGGCCATTGGGCTTGACGTTGTATCCAGGTGCTGTCCGGCACGTTGCCGCTTCGTTAAAAAATGCGGGACCTTAGATCTGCTTTAAGGCTGCTTCCCGCGCTGCTTCTTTTGCTCTTGGCTGTTTATTTGCTTCTCGATACCGACAGGGTTGAAGTTGAGATGAAGTCTTCCGGGTTCTTTGCGCTTTCGCTGGCGTCGCTGCCTTTGTGCTCTGGCGCGCCGTCATTTGGGAGGGATGAAGACGCTGCGGCGACGTTCCTTTCTGGGCTGATTGCATCGACACAAGCCATCGAGAAACGGTCTCCGAACGTCTCGTGTCAGCAGAGTGCCCTTGCGGTGGACCTTGGGTATGCCAAGTATGAAGGCTACAGCAATGCGACAAGTGGGCTGAACATCTGGAAAGGGCAAGTTCACTTTCTGTAATCAGGGTGAGCTATGGCTGACCATTTTCAGCATCCGGTACGCAGCGCCGCCGACAGGCGCCCTTCGCTGGCAACCTCCTCAACCACCGTCTCCCGAAATCTCCAATGGGACAACACCGGCGACTGAATTCGGTCCTTTTTGCCCGCAGAACTACCCCGCCGTCCCAGGGGCACCGTTTATCCCCGGCTCCGAAGACTGCCTTTTCCTGAACGTCTATGCGCCGGCTGGAGCTAAAGACCTGCCGGTGATGGTCTGGATTCATGGCGGCGGATACGGCTTTGGTGATGGACGGCAAGATATGTCGGAGATCCTCAACGCAAACGATAACGACTTCGTGGTGGTGTCCATCCAATATCGCGTAAGCTTTTCAGCCATTGCGTCGCGAAGTTACCGCGCAAGACTAACCACCAGTAGCTCGGTGCTTTTGGATACCTCTCTTCTGCTGATGTTAAGTCTCGAGGCGTGGTTAACGCAGGATTGCTAGACCAGGCGTTCGCTCTTGCTTGGGTCCAGAAGCACGCCTGCAAATTTGGCGGAGATCGCAAAAGGGTCACGATTACCGGCGAGTCGGCTGGAGCAGGTTCGGTGATGTATCATGCGCTGGCAGCGGACGGCAGCCTTGGATCGTTATTCTTCACGAATGTGAGTGATCAGGTCAGTGATATTTTGGGTTTGATTGCTGACTTACGGACCAGGGCATTGCGGCTTCACCGTATCTTCCGTTTCAGTATGGGTTCGACGCCGACTTTCCGACTCAGAGGTACCGATCTTTCGCTGAGAAGGCGGGCTGCTCCTCGGAAGTGGACGTTCTCGAATGCCTCCGAGGAAAGGATGGCATGGTCCTTCAAGAGGCTAGTGCAAACACCACTGCCGAGCAGACTTATGGCCGATGGTATGTCTCTTGATACTGGCTTAACTGATTTCATTTGCTAATTGAGATATCTAGGGCTTTCTCCCCGGTTACTGATGGAGTATACATCAAGAGCCTGGCCAGTGAGCAGTTGACACAGAAGAAAGTCAACGGTGAACGCCTTCTTGTCGGGGTAAGTTGATCCGTGGTTATTGTGTGATCACGACTGACATTAGAGCAATAGAACAACGCCAATGAAGGCCCTCTCTTCGTACCTCCCAAAATTGCCAGCAACACTGATCTCACAGCTTGGCTCAAACTTTCGTTTCCCAACCTTTCAGGGGCACACATCGACGAGATCGTAGCAAAGAATCCGACAAAGACCGGAGCAAATGATACCCGCTTCGAAACGAATGGACTGACGGGCCTCACAGCTCTTGACATCAGCCAAGCCGGGGCGGGACCACTGCAGCAAGCGATAGTAAGTTCGCTTCGTATCCCATCGGAAGCAATGCGCTGACGTGAGCCTCAGAACATTTACGCCGAGCAAACGTTCGTATGCCCGAGCTACTGGCTCTCCTCCGCCTTCACAGGCCCCAAGTCTGCCTGGCACTACCAATACTCCGTCCCCTTTGCCTGGCACACCTCTGACGTCCCCGCATACTTTGGGCCGGCGACCCCGAACCAAGGATCGGAGTTCGTTCTCGCGTTCCGGAAGATTTGGGGCAACTTCGTTACAAAGACTGACCCGTCCATCAGCAACGAAGAAGCGAACGGTGCGTCGAGCGCTGATTCAGCTGAGAAAAATGGGGCGAGCGAGTGGCCCGTTTGGATGGAGACGGAGCCCAAACAGCTGAATCTCAACCAGACGGGCGGCGTACCGTATCAGTTCACCACCCAGTGGGGTGTAACCGTGACGCAGTTCCAGGCACCTGTGCAGGTGAATGCAATTGCTGTCGTGCCTGCAGATTCATGGGAGGGCGGACGCGGAGCCAGATGCGACTTCTGGAAGACGTTGGCTCCGAGCATCCCGGCGTAGTCGGGGCGGCGGTCTGCTTCGATTAGAGAGACATCAGAAACTTTTGCTGATGTCCCAAGAGCTCTTTCACTTCACCCTCCGTATAAAGTTTACAAAACATTAAGTGACAAGGGACTTGATGACGCTCGCGATAGGCGGTATTGACGTAAACAAAACGGTGATGGTGCCAAACAAGCTCATGGACAGGCTCGACAGCGCAGCCGCGCGAGGGTCGGTACGGAGGAGCAAGGCCGTAGCAATGGCCGATGAATTGGCGCCGAGCGTGACTCCGCGCGTAATGTAGTCATCTGTTTGAACGTTAGTCCTTTCATCCACCCACGGAAACCGGACTTCTGACCTTCGGGAATTTTGAACCATCCCAGCATCCGCTGTCCAACAAGCACGCCGACAATGCCGCTCATAATGGCAATCGCAGCTACCGTGTTCGAGTCACCTCCCAGATTCTCCGTCGCAGGAAGGGCGAGGGCGAGCGTCAAGCTGCGAGATGCAAACGCTAGGGATCTCTCTGCGCTGATCCCGATGGCGTAGCAGATCTTGGGGTACGAGAACAGACAGCCAATGGACATTACGATATTGGGCAGGACGATCGCGACGAAGTGCTGCTTCAGCTCGCGGCGGTATTGGTACATAGGCAACGCAAGTGACACGATGCTCGCATCGAGGACGGTGCTGAACATATCTCCAGCGCCCGGGAGACGGCCAGAGTGAGTATGGAGCCACAGGTACGTGTAATTCGCGCCTGTTCGGAAGGATTGTAAGGTTGTCGGCAGTGTGTCACCACGGATCGCCGCCAAAGCCCAGATGCTGAGGACGGAGAAGAGCGAGGAGACGAGCACGGGGTGGAGGTACTGGCGCCAGTTTGCTGGGATCGAGGCGGCGGCCATATAGATCAGGATAATGAGGCTCAGGTGAAGAGGCATGCCGTATCCTGTTGCGTAGTATACTGGGAAGCCGACGAAAAGGAAGATGGCGGCGTAGATGGTGACGTCGAGATGAGCGCAGATCCAGGCCGCCCAGAGCTGGGCACGTGGCATTGGCAGCGGGACTTGGGGAGGGAGGGACGTGTTTTGGATTGTCAGCGCCTCATCTTCGTTGTCGGAAGCTCGAAGAGGGCTGTTCGTCGCCGGAAGGAAGTTGTGAGTCGCGTTTTGAGAGGTGGGCGGCGGCGCGATGGTGTTGAGGGATAGAGAGGACGGCGCGGCGGAGATGGTTCGCGATCCTGGGGTCGAATCGGTGCGCGGAGGAGTGTCCGCGAGCGGGATCTCATCGGTCTTGTTGCCCATCTCTTCGGCGCGTTCGGTGAGAGCGCGTTTCGAAGAGCCGAGGAGGAGTTGGAGGCCGCGGGTGAGGTAGGCGGCGAGGGCCATCATGATGACGAAGCCGATGACTGGAGGGCGTTAGGAGCTTCTTTTGCGAGGGAGGTGGGTTCCTCACTGAAGACGGCGATAATTTTCATGACTTCAATGATTCCAATAGAAGGACTTAGAGGGAGCATGATGAAGGAGGGGGTGAAGAAGACGTTGATCCATCGGAGGGACCAACCAGCCTGCCGGAGTTAGTTGCGGCGGTGACACTGAGTAGTGAGATGCTTACCGGCACGTCAATGACCGTGACAATGGCCTTCGTTTTGTGGTTTCCAAGAACCAATTCCGACAGGAGCAAGCCGAAGAACAGCAAAATGAGACATGCGACGGAAGCTGGGAACGAGATGCCGACAGTCTGGAAGATGACGCTAACGCCGAAGCATGCGGCGAGCATGGCCATGATGCCGAAGGGGACGTAGAGCCATGATATGAGCAGTTTCGGAGCAGATTGAAATGTAGCCTATCGATAGTGTCAAAAACCCGCGATTTGAAGTCGTTTGACGCAATTGGTACACGAACCAGCTTTATCGCCTCAAATGCGTCCACAGAGCTGATGAGCCATTGAGGCCCGGCGATAGGGCGGTTGCTCGCGGTCGTCATGGTCGCTTTTGAGGGCTCAAATGCATCACAGGCTGCGGCTTGCCTTGAATATGAGATGATCAGGCACGCAATTGATGTATCAGTGGCTCATACTCAACTTACACACAACAGTAACTCGGTGACGTCGCGAAGGATGAGCAAGATTCGATTCGGTCAGTTATCGCTTGGCATCGAACGATGTCGCCGTCTAAATTAGTCAATCCGCTTCGGTTTTAGCGAATCACCTCCGATGCCGCGCCGAGACACCCACTGTAAATTAGTCTCTGTGTCAGCGCTGCAGCGCCGTCTGCTGAAGAAAGTGAGCTTCCATGTGATAAGGGGGCGGCGCCTGAGATATCTTTGCTCAGGCACTTGCTGGTAGGCCCGCCGATCGGCATGACTTCCGAGGGAACGGAACACATCCGAACGGCGATGAGCAAAGGTCAAGCACCGACGTCTATTTGTCACGGTATGTGAGTATCGAAAGCACAAAGAATCTCATTTTCTGCGTCTGCAAATACCTCCAGCTGGTAAATGCTTTCCATGCCAAACTTTTCCCCGATTGTCGCAAGTCCATATCTCATTATGACCGAGTTCAAAAAGAAAACACCATGGCAACCGCGTGCCAGCTCGAAAGCAACCCTCTCAGTCTTCTCTGATTGCCGTAGATAACAACGATGCGCTGTTATTTCTGTGTTCGTGTACTTCGCATCAAACAACCTTCGGTGTCTACTTCATCCAGAAATTGGAAGCCAGGACACGGAAACCAACGTCCTGACGCGGAACGACGCTGTCCTTGATGTTTGAATGGCGCATGTTGAACGCATTCTTGGCCTGATTGAGTAGGTGGAAGACTTCTGTGATGGAACTGACCAGCTGGTCGTTCACACCCTTGACATTCTCGATCTCAACCCACGTCCGCTGCTGATCTTGGAATACCGCCAAGCTTTTCTGGCGCGCCTCACCTAACAATCATGTCAGACTCTGTAGGAGAGATAACAGCACTGGGAATCTAGAGCTGTGAGAAGATGCGAACATACCTTGCCTCCGTCGAACCCACTCCTTCACCTCATCGATTGTGACTTCGGCGGTCTCGTGTCTGACGAAATGATTTGGCTTCAGGACGATGAGTACAAAGACATTCTGGATGTGAGAGAAGTTCTTTGAGAACATGGCAAGCTCGTAGGGGCAGAAGGGCAAATCCAAGTGTTCGCGGCTGTTGTTGGTCACATGGGGCCAACATCTAATCATGCAGGCTAGACTTTTGCACCTTTGGCCGTTGAAGTAAATACCAATGTTGCGAATGCCTGGCTCCCGAATTCCATAGGCATCATGTCGACGGAAGAGTCCACTCGCACGATACTCCCAGTCCATGAGCATGCCTAGTCGCATGTCCAGGGCGAGAATATCTTGATTGCCGCGCAAAGCGAGGTGGACGTTTCCCCTGAGGGACTCGAACCTGGCGCCGAACTTGTGCTCGATGAAAGACTTGAAGTCTGGAATAGCGCCGCCAAGTTTCATAAGCTCCTTGAATTCCGAAGTCTTGGTGAAGTGGCTTGCTTGAAACTTCACCACGCCGCTGGTCGGCGTCTTGGGTCCTGGCCCTGATTCGCGAAGTATGCATCGCGCATGCACCACGGCCGGAGAATAGTTGACAGCTGACTCTAAAATCATATTCTTAATCTCAGGAGGGAGGCGTGGGAACAGATGAAAGGTCGAGAGAGGCTCAGTCTGCTCTTCGGAGCCTGCAGTGGACAGAGAGGCTGCGTTGCTGACAGGGGCAGCTTCATCGGCATCGGCGGCGGCGGAGACTGCCTGCGACTCGTTGGAAGAAGATGTGTTTGAGGACGACTGTCCAGCAGATTGATTCTTGTTTGCCATCTTGCTCAGTTGGTCGGAGATGGCGAATGGGGCCCTCGAAACGAAGTTTACCTGGAGATGGTTAGTCAAGTGGCCGTTAGGATAGAACTGTTGTTAAGTAGAGAACAGATCGTGTTGGTTATTGGGCTGAGTGAGTTTTTCGGGATTTGGATATTGTTTTTCTTTTCTTTTGAATATCTTGCTGCTTCTGGGGTGGAGGAAGAATCCATTGAAGGGGTCGTTTGGAGGCTTCCGGTTGACAGGTCAAGAGAATGTAGGTGGGTCGTTGTGAGATGAACTTGAGTGAGGGAAAAGATTTGAGACGTGAGGTATGACGAGATCGTTCATAGAATGGCTGAGAGGTGCATACCTCAATTCGGAGAGTGACTTGGTCGGGGAACCTCGAGTAATTCGCCGGGATGAGACTTCTGGCGGATGGGATTGCAGAGGTGAGCTTGGTTGGGAGTTGTGCGAAACAGGCTTACCAATGGATGGAAATTCAATGTGAGATTGGAGGGTCCGGTCGGGTTGAGATGCTTTTCGGAAGGTGTCGTATTGTGGTGAAGCCACAAGGCTGCTCGAGTATCGAGATGCGGGTTGAAGGAAGAGCAAGTCGGCCGCCCACGTGGCGCAAACCTGGAACCAAGTTTTTCGGATGGTTTGAAAACGGAAGAAATCGCGGAGTGTAGAAAGATGAAAGGTGACGAATTTGGGTGAGGAGGTCGAAGTCCTGCCCTGGGACGGTTGTTGTTGAGGTTGAGGCCCTGTAGGGTTGGGTGAGGCCTCGTTTGTGAAAGAAGAAGGGAGAGCGAGGTGGTGAGGGGGAGAAGATCTTCCTTTTCGAATGGTTTCGCTGCTTTTTGAAGAAGGAGCTTCAAATACGGAAGGGTGTGCTTTCCTTCTTCCTCAACTGAAAACTGAAGGAGCCGCAGCTGCCAAACTTCAACTGCCAAGGCAAGAACCGTCAGACTTCACACTTCTCGCCTTCTTTATTCAATTTAGAGGGTGAAACTGTTTTTCACCTCCGCACGTGACATGTTTGACACCAACAAATGTCTGTTTTCTCTTGAAGCTTCCACAAGTCACGACCTTGACGGTAATTTCGTCACTGTCTCCAACCCCTGCGGATATCGAGTACAACCACAAATAGCCACATAGTCTTCCAGGAACCCTGATTAATTGCCTGTATCTCAAATTACATGATCTGAAGCAGACAAGGTTGGTCAACCCCCGGGTCGTCTATCATCTGCCCACTCAGCTCTATGCCGTGCTCGGCGTGCCTTTGCGTGCTGCCAGACATAGCATACGCTGCTGGACAATGATCCTCCTTTTGCGCGCTGCTCTTCTGTGAGAGTTCTAAGGTTCATACTGAATTGCGTTCTCAGATTCCGTCGCACCACCTGTCGTATCACGAGCCCCAGGGGCGAGGCGATCCATCTATCCAGAGTCCGGGGCCGTTGCAGCCGTCTGGCCAGCTGTTTGGGAAGGTACGTTCCTCAAAGGAGACTCTTCCGTCTGCAGTCTCATCGCCAGCATAGTCTCCATGAAGCAACGAGTCTTCTTTCCGCTCGCTATTTGCCTATGCCTGCTACGGTCTTCGCCAAAACACCACACCGAAACAAGACCGTCGTCAGGCTCAAGACCACGTCGCCCGAGTCCGATGTCTCCGCGCAGTTTGGACAAAGACCGTCATCAATCGTCGTCCTCCATCGTCGTCCCCCATCGTCGTCTCTATCGTCGTTATCCCTATCGCTACCCCTATCGGTTTCTCTACTACTGTCGTCCTTATGAAGAAGCATTAGGCACGTTAGCTAAAGGTTAAGTTATAGAGTATACTACGGCTAGCTGACTGACACTGTTCAGCTAGCAAAACTCTTCGATTTTATTCACGATGTCATTTAGCTCTCATTCCATTCGCAGATGAGCGAGAGTAGTTCAGAAGAAGAGACCGCCTAATTCTCAGTATCTCCTGCTCCATGCTCTTTGAGCAAGGTCTCATGCGAACAGTTCATTGACGGTGCGTACGTACTTGATTCTTAATTCAGTGTCTCTCATCTACTAAAAGCTGAAAAGCCTTGAGTCCACTTGAATCATACGAGATGGTTCTCTCTAGCACATTCATGTTGCTCCCAGCGTCGACGCGATAGCACCAATGACTAGTGCCCGGGTCTTCGGTGTTGAAGCGGTCATTCGTAAATGCGGATGTAAACGGATGCTGTGTGAAAGCTTCCTGTCGGTCTCGTGGATAGCAAACCGTAGGTCTCCATCGTTCCACCTCGGGTCTTTTCGTACTCCGCACGCGCGCTATCGCGTTAATGAGCCCCTGGTCGTGGAAGGACCGATTCTCACGGCCGAATTCCGGACTTGCTCCGCTCGATATCCGTTTGCGGCGATGAAAGAAACCAAAACCCTCGTATCCGCGTCAATAAACAGCTCACCAAGAACATCTTCGGAGCCGAGCGGAGTAGGAAGAAAGAAACTCCCCCCAAAACTTTCGCCCGACTACCAAGAGCTGGTATTGATGTGTTTGAGATCGACGTCAGCACTCCCGTCGTTGTCATCTGGGATATTCAGGAGCCCAGCATCGGTGTCCCCAAACCGTTTCTCCAACTGCTTGGAAACGGTACGGGGATTCTGATTGCAGGAGGCGACTGGAATGTCAACGACTCTCGCGAGCCAATTCATCCGAACCGCAAAGTCGATGACGAGATAAGCTCCGCTCTCGAGCACCGGTGCCGGGTGAACTCCCATCGAGACGGATAAGCATACTTTCTGTCGTAACGACCTCTTCTTTCCAGCTCAAGAATTCTAAGTTGCAACGCCAACCTCGTGTTTCCGCTTCCAAGGTCATGAGCATGTCTCACTCCCGCCCACTCTCAAACGCCGCTTCTTCCCACGATCGACACCTCCACATTCCACGTACACTCCTCCAAACTATTGCGTAGTGTCTTGGCCCTGCAATAATCTCTAACACCATGGCCGGATCCGACAACGTCTCCTGGATGCGACCCCACTGCACCGGCTCTCGCGTGCAGAATGCAAAGAACACAAGAAACTTACACGACCTTCTCGTGTTCTTCTCATGGGCTGTACCAAAGATAGCTGCAACTTGCCCCCATACGTTAGCACTACGAACGCCAAAACGGCGAGCGCACGCGGATTTCACGCCATGACCGTCCGCATCCGTCCACTTTCGGGATTTCATCTTCGCGATGTTGATGAACCTTCCTGATGAAATCTGTGAAGCGAGCGGATTCTACCTTGACCGTTTCCGGATCTTCAGTCTTGTTGAACCTGTCGACATGAAAAGTCTTCGTCAAAGGAAGTGCCTATATCAAGACCCTATGAGCCGGTCCATCGAGCTTCCTTTTTTCTCATCATCACAGCAACAATCACAAGAACTACAATCACAATCATAACAGTCTTTCGTTTGAACCAACACATTCACTCATAATGTCCCGTCTCATCCTCGCCGCGGCCCTCTTGGCTGGCGTCCAAGCTCAATCCTCTTCGACCCAAGTCACCGTCGTGGTCCCCCCGACTACGACCGTCACCCCTGGCACCGTGTCCACCGTGACGCCTGCCGGTACCACGGTCATTGCCTCCGGCACTGACACCACTGTGACCGTCCCGGCATCCTCCAGCGCCAGCTCCGTTGTCGGAACCGCTTCCTCCGTGGTCACTCTGCCGGGAAGCGACACCGTCACGGTCTCCGCCCCGACGTCTACCACCGTGATCACGGCCACGGACGTTTCCGGTGCTACCACCATCCCGGTCACCACCTCGACTTCCTCCTTCATCAACTCTGGCTTGTCTCTCTCCACGACCTTCACCACTACCACTGACACAACCATCCTCACCGTTCCTCCAGCGGTCAACACCTCCCTTCCGGTGCCCCCGGTTGATCCCAACCAAAGTTTCATTTCGACCACAGTCGTCATCGGAAACTCGACGACCGTTATCCCCTTCGTCCCGATCCCGCCTACAGTCGCACCCGTACCTCCCCCTAACAACGGCACCGGTCTCCCGTTCAACAACGGGACAGGCCAGCCTACCATCACCCTGCCTCCTCCCGTTGTGACCATCGCTCCCCCTATCGTCACTACGACTTGCAACTATAACGGTACTTGCAACATCATCACCCTCCCCCCTCCCGTCGTGACCATCCCTCCCCCTACCGTCACGACGACCTGCAACTACAACGGCACTTGCAACATCGTCACTCTCCCGCCTTGCGTCACCGTCACAACCTGCTATGCCAACGGAGCTTGCGTGCCCGTAACAACTATCACCTACCCCATCACAACTCCCACACCTCCCATCGTCCTCCCTCCTCCTACGACTCAGCCGTACGTGACCACCGCCACACGCTGCCGCTTCAACGGAACTTGCGAGACCATCACCAGAACTTACCCCATCCCGCCTATCGTCACTACCGGTCAGACCACCAGGACCAGATCCTACACTACCTGCGATTCTAGCTGCCGAGTCGTCACGACCGTCCAGACCTCAAGCTACACCCGTGTCATTCCCCCTGCCAGCTTCACCACCCGCCCTACTATGCCCGGAACTCCCCAGCAACCTTCCCAACCTGGCGTCCCTGGAACTCCTCAGCAGCCGACTATCCCCGGCCAACCCCCCGCTCAGCCCTCCGTGCCGGGTACTCCTCAGCAGCCTTCCCAGCCCGGTGTCCCCGGCACCCCCCAACAGCCTTCTCAACCTGGTGTCCCGGGCACTCCTCAGCAGCCTTCTCAGCCTGGTGTTCCTGGCACGCCTCAGCAGCCGACCCAGCCTGGTGTTCCTGGCACGCCTCAGCAGCCAACTCAGCCCGGCGTGCCTGGAACTCCCCAGCAGCCTACTCAGCCTGGCGTTCCGGGAACCCCTCAACAGCCCACTCAGCCGGCCGGCCAGCCCCCTGTCACTCCGGGTAAGCCTACTACTGCCGTGCCGCCCGTTGCGACCGGCACCAGCCCTGGTTCAAGCCCCACGCCGGTGGTCACCGCCGGCCAGCAGGCCCTGCGTGTCGAGATGATGAGCTTGGTTGGAGCCATCGCCGCGGGCATGCTCCTGTTTTAAGAGAGCCATATCACTTCATGAGCATTTTGCATATGCTTGGAACAAGAAAAGTATCCTTTTTATTTCCTTTGTCAAAGGCCCTCTAGAATTTGGCCGGAAGAAAAAACATAGATCGCAATAGAAATTGAACGAAGGGTTCTCTAGATAGAGATGATAATGACCAATAATATTAATGATAATACCTTCTTGTCTTTATGGGTGACTTGTGAGCTATCATTGTGCTCTTCATCTATGAACCTCTTGCTTCCCCTTATGTCCTTCAAGCAACCTCTTTGGCCGGACTGCCGTTGTCCAATGTCATTATCGCCCGGGTAGCCATTGTTGTCCGCCAGAATACTAAAGGTCCCTTTCATTTACGGTCACCGAGACTTCTTGAACCCTGCGAAGTCTTATTACTACGGTCGAACAAGGTTCGGCATTTGCAGGGTCTCAAGCAAGCATTTCAACCTTGAGTAGAGACCTATAATAGGTAATTTTCCTAGCATGTAACATGGACTCAAGACATGCAGTTTATTCCCACATTGCAGTCTTGCATCGCAGGTTCGTATTGCTGTTCTTCATTTATCCCGAGCAACAAAATTGCGATGGAGCTGTGCAACACTCGAATCGCCAATATGGGGGTTATGGAATGCGAGAGCCAAACTCTGCGCGGAATATGCGTGATTCTGGCCAGTTTTCTCTTAGGCCTTTTCATCCACGCTCTTATTCCCCAAACTCGCGCTGCTGCGCTATCTGAAGACCAAGGATCCGACGAAAGCTCGGGTAATGATCAGCCTCATGACGCTGCGCCCTCCGAGCCCGCCAAGCTTCCGACAACATCAGGTGCAGATTTACCCGCCACAGGCGTTGCCGATGGCATCGTGACGGACACTCGGCAGCAGAATACAGCCCTCGTTCCCACCGCCAAAGCCCCCGAACATCATGCGATAGCTATGGCTTCTCCGTCGCTGTTCAGCACGCCTCTTGTCTTGACTGCCGAGCCTCGACCACCGTTCCAACCGAACGTTCGAAGCTTGACGCAGATACCGAGGACTACGTTGCCGCCGTGGGAAGTTGCTTTCGAAGCCAACGTCAAGAACAGCCGCCTTTTTCACCTCCCGGAAGAAATCCTGCTTCTTATCCTGCAGCTCGCCGATATTCCAGACTTGTACATGTGGCGCCAAGTTTCCTTTACATTCTGGCGCATCTACCAGAGCAAGTATTTCCGGAATTTCCATCGGGACGGCAAGTTGTTCTATGAGATCGAGAAGGAGGGGCTGAAAGGCTTCGAGCACGATGAAGAGACTAGGAAACGTGCAAGAGACCAGGCGTATTGCGATAAGTGCATCGCCAAGACACAATCGAAAAAGATCGTCAGTCCCTTATGGAGCCTCCAGTTCAAGACGCTCTACTGTTCTTTCTGTCGAAAAGACCATCCTCGATCCTGGTTCTCGCACAAGGAGCGTCAAAAGAAGTATGTCGGCCTTCGCTGTGTTTCATGGGAGGGGCACTTCCGAGTCTGCCCTCACGAGACTGTGTCTATGCCGTTGATCCTACAATACGTCGATCGTATCGACATAGCCGGCAAGGATCGCCACACATACCACGATATTGTCATTTGTCAGGTCTGCCAGGACGTCGCTGGCAAGCTCGCGGGGGAGGATATCCGCACTCGCAATAACATTACTCCCCCAAAGGTTTCGTTATTGAACGCAGGGCCGGACTACCGAGACCGTTCTCAGGTCATGTTCTTGATCGATTGGAAACTCCCTGTCTTTGAGATTCCCGAGGACCGTGGTGTTACATACCTTTTCCTACTACAGCGCTTGAGAGAGTTTGAGAAGACATACGGCGACATGCTTTGCCCGCACCTTCCTCTCGAGAGACTTCTCGCGTCTTTTGACTCGCGCCTTTGTGTCTGTCTCGGAGGCGACAGAAGAATCGGCGGCATATCGCCATGCGAGCGCAACATCGACTGGGTGGACAAGCATCACCCAGCTCGCGGCTGCAAAAGAAAAAGCACTACTCGGATCTCGGGTGTTTTCCTGTCCCAAGATGACAAATACCCAGTCAAACACGAAGTCACATGTAGAGATTATTGTGGAAATTTCATCTGGACCAGAAAGGACCGCTTCGTGTTTCTTAGCAGGCATACAGCTTCTCTTGTACATGCAGACGGCACTGGAAGGCCGTGGTATGCGCATGCCAATAATTTGCTGGAGCCACAATCATACGGGGCAAAGGACGACATCGAGGCGAAGCATGTCTTATGGTGCGATGATAAGACCTGCAAGAATGGCAGGAAGTGGAAGGATAGTAGACACTGATTTCGATTCAATAATTTTTCAACTTAACACCGATAGTCAAAAGGCTTCCAGGTCCGCTCACGGGCCAAGTGGGAGACTGGTGGTGATCGGATCGACATGAACGTGGAAGCTGGCTTCGGCACCCACAATTTCAGCGGAGGTGGTCATCTTACAACGATCGCAGGGCTTTCAGGCAAAAAGGAAGACCCAGGAATCAAACCGCGCACAAGCTTAGAGGACGCAACTTAGATACGAAAATAATCAACAATCTTTTCACTGATATCGAGCCGTCTGTGACGGACTGAGGCTACCTAGGTACGCCAAACGCCAAGCCATTCCTGCCTCCGGAGATATTTTACAGCCACAATTACGCACCACGGGGCTTCGCCTTGGCCGCCGCCTTCTCCTTCTTCTCAAGCTTCTGCTTCTTCTTCTTCTCTTCGTTCTTCGCATCCAGCTTGCGCTTGGCGTCAGCCTTCTGCTCCTCCGTCTTGGGAATCACCTTGAAGAATCCGTCCAGGCGAACCTGCTGGCTACTCTTCAGATTCTTCTCCAGTCTAGCTCCTGCAGAGCGCACACGGTCCTCTGAGAATCCCTTCTCGTTGACGAGGAACTGCACCAGACCATCCATATCAGGCTTCTCCCACTTGAAATCGCATAGCGGGTCGTCGGCCGGGCGGACGTCAGGCTTGAAGAAGAGCTCGCGAGCGTCCTGGTAGGGCCAGTCCTCGGGAATCTGGTATTTGCCCTTGGGGTCTTCCTTGATCGCCTCCACCAGCTTGTCCAGAGTGCCGTGCTCGCGGATGAGCTTCAGGGCGGTCGAGGGGCCGACCTTGGGGATCGGGTCAAGGTAATCACAGCCGAGGAGAATGCAGAGATCGACGAACTGTAGGGTCAAGTCAGCGAATGATATCAGGGCGTTGGAGAGGAAGGTTACTAACCTGCTCACGCTCCATACCCAGGCCCTCGAGCACCTTGTCGATGTGGACCTCCTGAATGGGCTCCTTGCGCTGCTCGCTGAAAGTCAGGTGGCGCAGGAGGATGGGTGTGTCGAAGGTGAGGGTATCCATATCCTCGCTAGCAGCGGCGTAGACCTTGCCGGCGCGAGCCAGCACGGCACACTGCGCCTCAGCTTCGGTCGGGGCGACGATGAAGGGGATGCCCATCAGCTTGAGCAAGCGCTGGCACTCGGCATTGTGCTCGCGGGTGACGCGGACCGTCCGTCTGGAGAACTTCTCGACGTCCTCGGCCGTTCCAGTCTCCTTAGCCTCCTCGAGGTTCTCGTTGGCCTCCTGCTTTCGCTGGAATCGCTTGGCCAGCTCGCCAGACTTGAGCTTGGGCGGGGCACCATCGAAGACGTAGAGGGGCTTGATGCCGTTGTCGACCATTCGCAGGGTGCGGTAGAAGAGACCCATCAGATGCGAGGTGGTCTCGCCGCTCTCGTTCATGAGCTGCTGGCCATCGGATCGGACGGCGATGAGGAAGGAGTAGATGCTCATGGACCTGGACGCAGAGTCAGCGAGGGGCAGCCAACGACGGCGGGGGGAGGAAAGACGGAGACGCACGCATCAATGGCGACTTTGCGGCCAAAGTGGGCCTTGATTTCGCCCTCCTTGATGGCATTTGGAGCCTCCTCCTTGATGATCTGGTAGAGGTTTTTGATACCCATCTTGCTATCGTGGTCGCGGGAGTCGTTGGATGCAGGGAAGTCGAAAAGTGCGAAGAGTTGACGCGCCTGGTGAGGTCATGACGCGCCGCTGGACGCGTTAAGTGGCTGACTAAGGGGGCAGGCAGTCTGTGCGCACACCCCGGCCACCCCAAGGAAGGAGGCAGCGACAGGGATCACGATGCAGGCAGAAGGAGCTCAAGACATGGAGTTGTGTCGATTTTTGACGTCGTGATAATCTTTTGCCATGTTGAGCATTTTCGAACGAGTGCTTCCACGCTAAATTTGTGTCGTAAAAATCCCTATGTCCCAAGGCCGCCGAAAAGGCCAACAGCTGGTCACACGTATCGTGGTATCACTCGCTCTGTTTGCCTTCTCCTTCGCGATTGCTGCCCTCGTTGCTTTTCTTCATATCCGTGCTGTCTCTGGGCTTTAGCTTGATTCTCGCTCTTTCTTTCTGGTGTCCAAATTGTAGCTCAAGTCGTGCATGACCACCTCTCCAGCGCTGCCTCTCCAAGCCCTGGGGACGGTCGTACTCGCTTCGTGCGGCCACTTCCGGGAATCTATGCCTGTAGTGCATGCTTTCCACGATCTGAGAGTTGTCGAACCTGGAAATCGCGATGGATTATCAAAGCCTCGAGGCAAGGGAACATGTGCGCCGGGATGGGAAGAACGAACTGGAAGAGCCACAGCCAGAGGCCAAGGGTGTTGTGTGAATCATGAGTTAAGAAGCCATATTATGCTGGCTTTCCATATTTTCGAATTTAACCCCAAGAAAATCGGGAGCGGTCGACGCAGATGCCTTGCGATCCCTTTGCAAAAGCTGTTGTCCGCGGCCCGCCGAAGATGGCCACGAACCGTCAAGCCGAGCTTTCCGCAAGTGGCACACTATCATCAAATCCAGAAACCCGACACGCTTGTTGTCAAGCAAGACTTGTCGCACCGGCTCGCCTAGCGAGACTTTTCCTGGTTGAAGCGTGTCAGAGGTGGACTGCTGACCTGTCAAGCATCGGGTACATCATCTGAAATATCACGCGCAGCCAATTTTGCATCACAGTCAAGTCAAGTGGCGGTTACATCAGTTCCAAAGTCACGATGAAAAGGGGAAAAGATAAATGTGTGAAGCTGTGTTATTGGTTGCTACGGAGCGTGCCATTCGTGCATGCCCAAGGGGAGAGACCAATCTAGCTACCAATCTGAAAAGCTGCTACCAAGCTGTCCTGTTCCAATGAAAACCTGCCCAAGGCATTCCAAGTCCTGTTCGATCCCAAAACGTACCACCCAAACACTTAGCCCGGATGACTCATTCTGTGAAATCAGATGGCAAGAAGAAGAGCCAGGCCGGCGACGAGGCCAGCACCAGTCTTCTCAGCACCCGAAGAAGGGATGGGGGTGATGGTGCCAGAGGCAGAGACAGTGGGGGTCATGAAAGCAGAAGTGCTGCCAGAGGTAGTACCCATGGTGGAGGTGGCCACGCTGGTGGTCTCCTCAGTGATCACCGAGGTCTGAACCTGAGAAGTGGTGACCTCAGAGGAGGTAACCATGAGAGTGGTCATGACCTCAGAGGAGGACATGGTCGAGGTGACCTGAATCCACTCACAAGTGGTAGTGGTGACAGGACGGCAGACCTCGCTGTTCATGACTACAGAAAAGTCAGCAAATGAGGCCAGAAAAATTAGAGAAAACTTAAACACACGTACCAGTGAAGTCATCGCCGCCAGTGGGAATCGGCTTATGGATGGCATCGCCAAGGAGGGTAGTGAGGACCGGCTGGGCTGGATGAAAATCAAAATTAGCCAAGGCGTTGCGATGAGATGGAAGAGGAAGCTTACGCATATCAGTGCCGTCACTGAGCTTCACGCGCTGCTGAGCAGCGCCACGCGTGGCAAAGTGGCCAATGATGGCAACAGAAAACTTAGCGTTCATAGAGAACTTCATTGTGGCGGCTGGCGATGGTTAGAAGGACGAGATAGAAGAGAGGGAGAAGCAGTTGACTGACCTGTTGAGAGTGGGTAGGTTTTGGGTGTTTGTGAAGGGTTGAAGTAAATGTTGCAAGTTTCTGGAGAAGCGACTAGAGAGAGTGTGTTTTCGTGGGTTGAAAAAAGAAAAGAGGAAGAAGTTTTTCGAGAGGAGGGTAGAGGAGGGGGATATTTGTACTTGATGAGGGAGTGATTGAGGCGAGCCTGTGCCAGCCCTCTCTCAAAGGGCATAGTCTCCGCTCTTTTGACTGCTTCAAGAGGGCGAGTGCAAGAGAGAACTGAGGGTGTCTCAAGGAAAACACTGCAGCTCTGATTTTTGTGATTGGCCGATTGGGGTTTGGTTGTCAGGTTGACCCTCAAAGTGAAGGCATCGAGAGATCAGGAAGCGGGTCCATGTGGTGTTCCATGACCAAAAGGGCGAGAGCAGTGTGGCTTTGAGGTGGTTATGATGTCGTTGGGTTGAGCAGAGCTTTGTGACTGGCTGATCTCTGAGCTGCGGAAAGCCACGGAAGGTTGAGGTGGTTGTCTTTGGAAGAGGGTGCGCAACTCGCACTCAGCGCTGGCAACTCAGCTTCAGCGCAGGAAACTCCAAAAGAGTGTTGAAAACTCTTTGAGGGCTTAAAAAGAGATTTTATCGCTTTGAAGAGATTTGGGTGCTTGCAGATTGCTTCTTTTGAGGTCATAAGTTGGTGGCTCCGGGCTCCGTTTGCTTTGTGGAGGCGGATGAAGACTGGCAGCATCGCGAATGAGAGCGGGCATCGATTTAAGAGTAGATATTCCATGACTTCTGCCAAATTCTTGACTGTTTGATGTGGTGGACGGACTGGGCCACAGCAGGGTGGTGGCTCTGGGGTCCTGGAGTGGGCGCGGGGGAGAGGACTTGGCGCCCCGAGGTGAACGGGGCGGCCAGTCGAGTCCATGTTTGACAAAATATTATTGAACTTTTCTGATATTCACCTTACTGTGGACCCGGATCCTGCTTGCAGCCAGCCTCCAGGTGTGTCTGGCCCTCGAGTCTCATCTTTGGCTGCTAAAATTTCCGACGTTTGACTTCGACTTTGACACGCGTTCCCCCAGTGTCGATGCTCGTCACACGCAGTTCGGCAACCCAACTATCGACGCGTCGACTCTCCTTTCTTATCCTCGGTCAAGTACTTCAGTCATCCAGTCTTGTCCATTCGTTTACTCTGCTGCCTGTGCCTCATGACTGGTCATCCAATGGCGCCCACCACTATCAATGATCTCCCTCAGGAGATCGTCAACGCGATCGTCAGCGAGATCATCGACGAGCACACTTACGGATTATTCGACATCGAAGATATTTCCGGTATCGTTCCCGTCTGCCACAAATTCATGAACGCTGTGAAGGACATCGCCAGACGCCAGCACCAAAAGCTGGAGAACAAGCTCGGCACCTATCTCCTCAGCTCAATCTACAACGACGCCCTCGCCGTCTTCGCGTTCCCTTCCTTCGCCAAGCTGAACTCTCTGGCCACTGACGAGGAGAAGAAAAAAGCGATGAAGGAGCATCTCACGAACTGGCAGAGTCTTGAGCTTTTCATGACTTGCACCCGCAGTCCCACCCAGCAATTGGGCGTCTGCCACTTCATCGACAAGACCATCATTCCCTTTGCCGAAGACTTTGCCCTCAAAACTTCCGATCTCGACGCCAAAGACTTCCAGATGCGCCTCCCCGAGTGGGCCGAGTCGAGCCTCAAAGGAGCTTACCAGCCGCTGGTGCTGGAGGTACCCGCGATTACCTTCTACCACCCCAACGAGAGCCGTCGAATTCTCCGCGCGTTCTGCCGATTCGAGCTCCTGTCCCATGTCTTCAGAGCTAGGCCTGGTCTGAAGCTCTGGGATCTCAAGGCTCAGCACGAGCTGCTCGACGCCTACTTTGACCAGCATGAGATGGAAGAGGTGCTTTGCGTCTCACAATACGTCAATGACCTTCACGTCTACCTTTTCCGAGCGTTCATGAGCGCCAATGACGGCCGCGACGTTCAGGAGGATTTCAGACAGGTCTGTCGCGCCTTCAAGCCCGTCAATGGAGTCTGGAAGATTCCCGACAGGTACAACATAACGCGCTCAGATTCTGGTGAACGCATATGGTATGCCACACACGTCCACGACGAAACCGTCACCCGCATCGACAAGATCCAATTCTTAGACACTATGACGCAGTCCACAGTCATCAAGCAGATCTCCACCTTCGGCTTGGGCTTCTTGCGTTCGTTCCTCACCTCGCCCATCCAAGAGTATAGGCAGTGGATGGTCAAGTACGCCGACATGATCCTCAAGGACATCTGCACGGCGGAGGTCGAGCACGTCGGCGCTCAATCCAACTGGACCTGGGCAAACCACTACGGAAAAGTCTGTCCCGAGGACCCAGTCATCACCATCCCCGGCCGCGTTAGCTGCGAATGCGAGACAGACTGCCCCAACACCGCCTGGAAGGTCCTTGGTCACGGCGGTTCTGTCAAAACCCTTCTTGGCTTTCGCCGCTGCGGATGGGTGTTCTGGTCCGACGAGCGTCTCCGCGCGCGCCGCTTCTGGGCCATCCGTGACATCAATCCTTACCAGCGCGACATCGACCTGGACGCTGCTGAGAACCAATGGATCAATGCTCCGCTCCCAGACGTACTGCTCGACGATCTAAGCTTTTCGGATGCTTTCATGTTCGCTGTTCGCGAGCTGAACAGCCTCGCGGACTGGAAGCTGCACAAATTCTGCAAGGACTCTGTGACCATGCTCAACCGTTGGCGCTGCGATTTCGTGAGCGACCTTCGGGCACGCTGCGTGGCTGTGGTCACCTTCGACGAGCTGTTCGGACCGCTTGTACCGCCTGACTTGCCGCTGCCTGCGGAGGTTGCTCCTGGTGTCTTTTGGGGCTAGGCAGGAACTTCATCGGCGAATGTTTGCGCGGAGGTACGATGAATGATACTCCCACGTTGTCGAAGAGACATGATGCTAACGTCGACTTCTTCCAGATGTGCTCAGCATACGAGGACCTAATGGCTGGGCATGAATCATGGGGAATAACTCTAGCTAATGGAAAGGCTGTCACCGAATCGACCAAGATGATGGGGAGAAGACGATGGAGGAAGACGCTGAAGTAGGAAGACACCGGGGGGCGAAGACGTGGTACAGCGACGACGAGGGACGACGACGACAGAGGACACCGGCGACTGACGACAGAAATAACAGCAACCACATGACCGGCAGGGACAACAAGACTGTGTCGATGGATACTGGCATATTGTCATTCGCGACCCGGCTTGAGACATGGAAGGAGTCAATCGTGTGTGCAAGCCTTCGGGTGGTGTCAAACCCCTACGCGTAATGACTCACTGAGAGGACGATGAACTGGCTTCCGAGATAGTATTTGCGTAGACAGAGAAAATCCGAAGAGCATCAATCATACTTCCCACTCGAATAATACGTGAGAAGTGCGTGAAAACTACTGAGACACGCTGGGTGCTGCATATTATCATGTTTGTGGCAATTCTCAGATTCACTTTGTTCAATTATGACCTTGATTAAAACACGCAATAATTTCTTCAAAGTCCTCACCAATCATCAAAAGGTAAAACAAAACACGAAAAGCACTCACAAGCATCTGAATAATATTATAAAACACGCAGAATGCTTGAAGCCTTCGATTCGCGAAGATGCCCCTATGATGTCCCTAGGTATCAAGGCACATTCTACCCGCTGCTCTCAAGCACATCCCAGACCATCTCCCCATGCTTCACATGCGCGCCAACACTCAACTGCGCACCCGTCTTCAGCAAAACCTCACAAGGCATGGTACCCTCAGCCCCGATCCGAATCGTCCTCTTCCATCCCTCTTCCTCCTTCCACTCCCACCGCTCAGCGCTGACATCCTCCCCGACTCTCGAGATGCCCTGACAAAACCGGCCCAGCCACACAATCATGCCGCGCGCCTTGCTCGTCTCGTCCTCATACTTGAGCACTACGCACTCCGGCTTCGGCGCGTCATCCGCCTTGACAGACGCAGGCTCCGGGTCGACGTCCCGCCAGAGCTCCTCGTAGTCGCACTCCTGCCCCGTGGCGGGGTTCACCATCCGCCCCTTCTCGAGCGTGAGGTCGCCTTCCTGCGGGTACATGTCGCCCTCGTCGCCCGCCGTCTCGGGCTCCGTCGTGCGCGAGTCGATCCAGTGGTCCCAGCGCGAGTGGCGCACCTCGCCGCCTTTGCCGTCGGGGAAGAGGGACGACGAGGACGTGCCGGCGATGCCCCATTCCAGGCTCTCAGCGCCGTGTGTTTCTGCGATCCGTTAGCCATCTTCAAAATGTCACCCCTGCGAGTGTTGCGCTGGGCCGGAGTTTGGGTTGAGGTTGTGGTCACACTCACCTTGCCCCTCCGCAGTCGGCGCCTTCAGGATGCGGAGATCCACGAACCGGCGCTGCGGGGAAGTCAGCACGATCGTGGACGTCGGCTCGCCGGCCTCGTCGGGCACCCAGCGGATGTGTTCGCGGAACGAGATGCTGCCCATCTTGACGTTGGTGTCTTCTTCCTTCGATGACGAGTTGCTGAGTGAATCGCTTCAGCTGCGCGAGGTGGTGGAGTTCGCAATTGAGAAGGCGCACCGCACCCACCCGGGCAAACCGGCCAATGATCCACATTAACCCGGCTAACGCTTTCACGCCGTCATACCCCCCTAAACTAACCGGCCGATCTGCATCGCCAACTTTGCGTCTATTACTCTTTACTCTATGCGAGATCTATGTCTAAGTCTATATGCATTCGATTCCATCTCAATACTCTCTTTCTTCATCGATCAGAAACCCCTCACGCAGATTTCTCAAGCCTCTCGACAACCTTCACCAACCCCTCGATCTTCTCCTCGCACTCCTGCTTGCTCTTCCCCTGCGCCTCGTACGTCTCGCGCAGCCGGTCAACCATGAACGGCTTCAGTGCGGTGCGCTTGGCGGTCTTGTAGTCGTACACGACAATGTCCTCAAAGCAGCGCGCCGCGGGCCGGCGGTGGCGGTCGGAGACCAGCAGGGCCTCCAGGAGGACGAAGTCCGACTCGTAGGTCGGCTTGGCGGCGAGCTTGTGCAGGACGGTGACGTTGTCCGGGTAAGCCATTGGCTGTTGCGCGTGAGCATCCGGAGCCGAATTGCTTGACGGGCACCAGCCGGCGGAGATGAGAAGACACTGGGGATGGAGGGACTTACAAACTTGTAATCCGTCTTGATGCTCCTCATGATCAGGCCAATGTCCTTGGGCGACATGAGCTGGTTCCATTCGTCCGCGTTCTCGGGGTCCACTGTCGTCGCGAAGTTGCGCAGCCAGTTTACTCGTGCGGACTCGGCGTACTTGTTGTAGACGACGTTGTTCACATGACCTGGCTATGTTAGATAACCTGTATGCCTCATGTACCGCGCGATTCGAGTGTACCCTGCGCCGTGTTAGTCAGTGCTCATCAACAACGTCCCGCGATGAATCTCACCATTGCATCCTGCAGCTCATCGTCAGTGTCATTTCTTCACCAAGAAGCGTAATATTGAAAACTCACCTGATCTCCCCAGGTAACGGTATGCTTATCCAAGCCCCTCCACCCAGGCCCGGTGAGGAATCCCTCGCGGCCGGCAAGCAGCTCAAGCCACTGCCCGTCAACAGCCTCCCGCAGCCCCTTCAACTCCTCCTTCTGGGCGCTGTCAAGCTGGAGACCGGCAACACGCTTAATGCGCGCCTGTAGCTCCGAGAGCCAGCGCGGGTTGACCGCGGCGCCGGTCCCGTTCTCCGAAGCGGCGAGACGAGTCGTGGTGCCGAAGCAGCGGCGGGCGACGGGGCCGCGGAGAGCTGAGATTGAGGGGCGCATCGCGTGGTACGGTATCTATAAAACAAGTTGCACAAGCAAAAAGAAAAGCAATATCACAACACAGAAAAAGCAAAACTCTTCTTTGCAGACTATAATTTGGAGGAAAGAATTTTGATAAGCAGGGTGTGGATGATGGAAGGATGAGGAAATTCGGTTTCCGTCGGCAGCAATTGGGGCGGGCGACCCGATGGAGTGGGCGCTGGTTCCGATGGCAGGGCCGTTGGCTCGGTAGTTGCGCCCTTTCGTCTCGGCTTTCAGGGCGTCGAAAGGCGCGTGGGGGAAGTGTTTGCTGTGCGGGGGCCTCGACAGGGCACGCAACTTAGGCTGGCTTTGCAGTAGATTGAGCAACACACCAAGCGGGGCTCTAGCCCTGTTACTCCCCTTGGTGTAGTTGGTTCATCACGTTCGACTGTAATGGTTACATTGTCATCGAAAGGTCTCTAGTTCGATTCTGGAAGGGGAGAACCATCCTTTTGGACTTTTCCTTCACTGATGATGCATTTTTCGCGGCATCGCACTCTTGATCGAGCATTTGAATCTGGTGCTTTTTTTTTCTAACGTTTTGTACTCTGCGATTCTTTATCGCAAGATCCCGTTCCTAATCGCCGCCCCTCCGCTCTCCATCCAGCGTGCACAGTGTCCCCGCCCCTCACCGGCTGAAGAATTCTCGGTGTGCGGTGTACGCAGTCCCCACCCTAACGGCATCTCGGTCAGCTCGGTCAGACAGACTTCACCGGCGTGGGATGCTTGTCTTGTGGAACTTCGCAGGGCCCTGCGACGGTGGGGGGATTGGTGTGGGAGCGCCTCGCCCGGAGCTGCGACCGCTGCGAGCTGGTCATAGCTCCCAGAGACCCACTTTCCGGATCTGGGAGGAACCAACTGGAGGGGAGGGAGGGGACCTGCGACCGCACTTGTCACTTGCAACCGCACCGCACGGCGCGCGACTTTTTTGGGGGGACGGGGAGCACACAGCGGTGCGCACGCGTTTGACGGAGAGTTTGATGCTTGGGCACGCTGCGATTTTGACGTCCTGGACTGGGGAAGATTCTCAGTTGATTCTTAAGTCTTGATCATTTTCAATCATTCTCTTCTTCTAGAGGCTGCCTCGGTGAAATGGGAGGGGGTGGATGGAAGGGGTTCATTACGCGTTGGACGGGTCAAAACAAGATTGCCCCTCGGCCTCACCGCTGCCCATCGCGGTTCTGGCTTGGCTTCAGCTGAATGACTTCTTACAACGAGCGAAAGTTGTGAACGAAGATGAAATCTTGATATCAAGAATGGTCATGTTTCGAGGCCGAGCTGGAAACATCTTCGTGGAGCTCGCGAGGGGGATGGAGAGTTTGGCTCGTCTGGGCCCGAGTTTCCCCGTGCGGCCGGCCGGCTTTTCGCGTGGGACGGATTGGCGCGTAGCTCTCTAGACGGCTACCTCAACGTTTTCTTTGAAATACCGAAACGATATAAATGTCAATCAGATTGAGGAGATTTTACTCTCGGAATGAGAAAGTGTTCGCCTGCAAGTGCGCTGGCTTGCGAGCACGGAAAAGCAAGGCGCGGTGCGGGTGCCGTGAGGCCTGTTCGGTCCCCCTTTTCGTCTCGCTTGACGCGCGACTTCGCGGGGCTTGACAATCACGTCTCGCGACGAGGGGCAATCTTATTTAAACCGCAATTGATGATGCAGAAAAATAGAATGCCGTCGAGCTGTTCCTGTGCTGCATGAATTTCAGATGCCGTCTCGATCGGTGTGGTGTTCAGAGGATGAGGGACGCAAGTGTCGGTCAGGGCGGAGAACAGACGGTGACTGGCACACGTGTTCTCCTCCACATTGGGTGTGCATGCGTCAAGCTTGCGATGGCATTTGGCGGCCGCAATGAGGATTTGAAGTTGTCAAAATTGCATTGATGTCAATCGAGAAGGTATTCGAACCGGACTGCCCAAGATTCTTTGGGACTCGAATGCTGTCGGCGGGGAGAGGTCGCTGTTCGTGTGGACGGGTGCTGGATCGCGAATAGCTTCCATTGCCCCTCGTGCTTCTCACGAGCTTCTGACGCTCTTATGAAGCACAACGGGAGCGTGCAAACGGCAGATATCGCCAGATGTAGCCTGGCGACATATTTGGATTATATTATCAATCAGCTTTGAGGCTGAGCGGTTTTGTGGTCACGAGCACGCGTGCTGTCATCCATCGACTCTTCATCGGTCGCGCGACGCGATCGCAGCCCCTCTTTGGCGGGCGGCGGTCGCGAAACTCGGTGTAAGTCATTTCAAGCAACAAAAATGCCACAAATTCACAAAAAATATCCCCGAGCAGATCGTCGACCTAGACAATGGGCGAGTGTGTTTTTTAGATGAAAAGAAGGGTGCTGTGGGTGGTTGCGCGGTGGTGGTGCAAAGATGTGCGGATAGCTTCAATCGCGAGCTTCGCGCACCGAATCACACGGAACGGGAGGCCGAACGGGACGGGGTGCGGGATATCCGGGCCGGGACACGTTGGGAATGGAGACAAAATGGCATCAGGTGATGGAGAAAAATTCGGGCAACACAGAAGTGGTGCTGGCTTGGGATGAAACCGGACTGGCGAGGAGGGAGACCGGATGCGACGGGGGAGGTTGTGTTGAGGACATCATGGACGAAGTGCGAAAAGTGGCAAGTCGGCGAGGGAAAGGAGTCGGGCTGTGAGGAAAGTTGGGGCCGGGCGTGCGGGATGTGGATCGGGGGTTTGCGAGAGCCAAAAACGCGATGGAAGCGAGAAATGAGTCATTTAGCGTGATGGAGGGTGAGGAAAGCGCAAAAAGAGGGAAAAGAAGAGAGGAGTGGGAAGGGAAAATGAGAGGCGGTTGAGGTGGGCGATGAGAATGAGTTGGGTGGGAGATGCGAAGGTGCCGGATCAGACAGCTTTTTTTTCTTCGTTCGTCCTTTGCGCTGTGCTGTGCTGGACTTGGGAGCCCGGGGGGGACAGTCTTTCAGCGGATGGATTGCGAAAATCTGGCCAATCAGAAAAATCGACGAGGGAAGGAGGGCATTTTTATTTTAATGCGACGGAAGGAAAATGGGAAAGGTACTTGGGGTAGGTATCTTTTTTTTGGGTCGTCGAACGGCGTGGCAGTCGTGATGGGGAAGGGAAGGAGCGCCTGCTGCAGTGTGCAGTGCCGCTTAGCAGGGCAGGCAGGAGTCTGTCTAGGAGTCTGAGGCGGTCCCTGAAAACCGACGACGGGGAAGGAAGGATGGACAGGCACACACTGACACTGATCTTGGGGGTGATCTGATTCTAGTGGAGGGGAGGGGAGGAGCTTCGAGCAGGTCAGGGAGCATGCCTCACCAGTAACCACCTTTCCTAGGGCATGGCGGCATGCGCGAAGCCAAGGAGGGGATGGAGGTGTTTGCGTTTGTTTGGCGGGAACGCTGCCGCGGCAGAGGCCCCCTGTGAGGTGAGATGGGAGATGGGAGATGGGCTTGGGCTGGGTCCCTTGGGAGGAGCCGTGGAAAAGCACCAGAAGCACCAGAAGGCCACCGCACCTGGGCGGGCATCCACTATGAGGTGTTCGTTTATTTTCCCGTCCTGCACGGATTGGACTGGATGTGTTGGATTGGATTTACAGGGAGTCGAGCTGCTGAGGGGAGAAGAGGGGCCCCCCGTCCGGTGTCCAGGTGTCCAGGTGTCCAGGTGTCCAGGGTGTGACAGCAGAGACGACAGAAGCTTCAGAAGCTTCATGCGACGCGTCCGGAGCTTGGTCTTTTGTTTCCTTGGAGCGCCTGCCATGTGGCCATGTGCCACCCGCTGCTGCGATCTTCGTCGCCACTTGGGAGTTGACGGAGGACAAGTTGACCATGTAGATCTGCAGATATCTATCTTGGAAGTGGTGGTCTAGCACAGAACAACCTGGAGGACTGGATGGAGTGGCAACATCAGGCAGACGAGGGAAGGAGACGACGGGAGAGGAGAGGGTGCTGGATCTGATCTGTGTCTTGAGCCTCCCGTCTTGTCCGTCTCGACCGCATCTAGCAAATCACACAGATATGAGCCTCTTGGTTCCAGCCCAACTGGCGCTAATCGCCGATTCAAGTCGAGACACATCACAAAACGAGAAATAGCAGAAGAGGAGAGATGAGGTTAAGGAGAAGGAGAGAAAGAGGTGGAAGGAGGGACGAGGTGGGTGCGATGCAGGTGCAGGTGCAGGTGCGTGGGAAGGTAAGGTAGGGCCGGGGAAGGAAAGGATGGAAAGCACGGAAGCTGGGGCTCTGGCACACCTGCATTCGAGTCCTACCTCACCTGCCTTACTCTACCGTCTATGTTCGTGCCTGCCTTAATTACTTACCTTGCTGTCTGTCACCGGAGCATTAGTAGAAGGAGCATCGGAGAGCAGGAACGGTTTGACGGTTGACGGTTAAGGTAGGTCCCTACCTGCCTTCTTTAGGTGAGCTTGGTGAGGGAGGTAGGTCGACCGAGAAGAGAAGGAACCCTACTGCACCTGCACCTGCACTTGCACGCCATGTAAAGCAAGAACAAGCACGGCAAGGCAGTCGAACCTGTCTCGCACCTGCTGCCCTACCCTTCCTGCACCGCTAGCTACCCGACTCGACGACTCCCTGCTAGGCCCAACGGGAGGGGAGAGCCGTCGAAATTCTTTCTTCCACATCTCAACCTGTAGCCCGGCTCCATGTTCCATCGTTTGTGGTGTGGGTGGTGCTGTGCTGCCCGTGGTCTGGTCACTGGTCGCGCGGATCGAGGGCGGTCGCTAAAAAACCACGCGGGCCATTAGCTCACAGTTATTTTTTCCCGGGGGGTGAAGGACGTGGTGGATGAGCATGGTGGATGGAGGGGGAGGGGATGGATGGGGGGCACGCTGGAACCCCCCCAAAGCCCAGCGAGGCCAGAGGTGGTGCCCGCAGCCCAAGACCCCCAAGACCACAAAGTTACTGATTGCGCACCGCGCCTCTCTGCCCCCGCCCATTTATAAAAACAAGCCCCATCCCCTCCACGCACGCGCTCCTCCCCCCTCTTGCTCTCGATCTCTCTCTTCTTGTCTCCCTCAACCCAACGCGTCAATCTTCTTCGCAATCCGATCTACTTCGACTTATCCACCGACTTCAATCGCCCTTTCGATTGTATCCGCTACTTTGCACCCTTTTCCAACACCCAAACCTTCAACCACCACCCCCAAACCCACAATGCCTCCCAAGAAGACCGAGGGCGCTGCCGCCGCTCCCAAGAAGGCCTCCCACCCCAGCTACCAGGTCCGTCCCCGATTCACCGGTCTTTTTGCATGGCGCATTCTTTGCTAACAATTTGCAGGACATGATCACCGAGGCCATTGTTGCTGTATGTTTTCCAGCTCCTCTCCCTCCGGCGCAAAAGGGTTACGCGACCGGTGCCAGTCGGGTCTCGCTTGCGCTACTGGGTCTCAGTGCCCTCGCCCGTGCCCACCACCCTCGCGAACCCTGATCGCGCCACCACTCGCTTTCGCCTGCCTTCCCGCGGCGAATGACCTCGTGTACCGACCTTTTACTGACGCGTCTCTTCTCTTACAGCTTAAGGAACGCAATGGATCTTCCCGCCAGGCCCTGAAGAAGTACGTCAAGGCCAACAACCAGATCAACGTTGTTAGCGACACCATGTTCGACTCTCTCTTCAACAAGGCCCTCCGTGCTGGTGTTGAGAAGGGTGTCTTCGAGCAGCCCAAGGGTATGTCGACGTGCCTTAGCCATCTGACAATCCCATATACTGACTTGCACAGGTCCCTCCGGCGGCACCAAGCTCGCCAAGAAGGCTCCCAAGAAGGAGGAGAAGAAGGCTGCCCCCAAGAAGGCCGCCGAGAAGAAGGAGGCCAAGGAGCCCAAGGAGAAGAAGGCCGCTGCCCCTAAGAAGACTGTCGCCAAGAAGGAGGCTAAGGAGCCCAAGGAGAAGAAGGCCGCCGCTCCCAAGAAGGCTGCCGAGAAGGAGACCAAGGAGAAGAAGGCCGCCGCTCCCAAGAAGGCTGCCGCTCCTAAGAAGGAGGCTAAGGAGCCCAAGGAGAAGAAGACTGCTGCCCCCAAGAAGGCCGCCGCTGAGAAGAAGGAGACTAAGAAGCCTGCTGCCAAGAAGGCCGTACGTTCTCATCTAATACCCTTCGCACAGTACACCTACTGACACGTTCATCAGGACAAGCCCGCTGCCATCTCCAAGACCAAGACTGGTCGCGTCACCAAGACCGAGGCCAAGAAGCCCGCGGCCAAGAAGGCGTCCGCCAAGAAGGACGAGGCCAAGGCTGAGCCCGCTGCCGCATCTGCGTAGAGCGTTGTTCTTCGTCGTCGTCTTCCTGGTTGACGAACGCAAGCATGCTCTGGTCACGAATCTTTCTTAGGTCCAAACTGAACGGCGTTTACGGGAGTATTGCTCGATTACTTGGCGGGAACAACAATGGGGTTTCAAATGGGATCCGGGCAACGGTGGTGGGAACAAACCAAAGTTTTGACTCTTGACTTGTTGAAAGAAGGGATCATCGGGTTGGGACGAATGTGTTTTGTCGTTTCTGTTTTGTTCTACTGTTTTTTCACCCTCCGTCGCGTTGCGCGCGTTGTTTGAGATGGGTTCGGCGGATCCCGGACGGCGACGCCCTCTCACTATTGTAACTATAGCTCACGCGATTATACCAATGACGAGACTTTTCACTGTTCAATATTCTGTTTCTTTGGCGGAAGTGCGAGATTTTCACTCCTGGTCATGCCTCGGAGCGCGACGAGTTGGCAAGGCTGGACAATCACTTGGCGTACTTATGACGCTCCGAAACAACGCCGCGCCTTGCCTGTACCATCTTTCTCTGGATGGCAGCTTCAGTCGATTGACGACGATCTACCAGTATCATAACTCGGGCGCAAAGAAACTGCAAAATACTCCTTCATGAAAGGAAGCGCAACCCTTCCCCACGGAGCCTTCCTGCGATCTCACGGTCGGCGATGGCGATGGTTGACGAGGGCCCCAGCCCGTGAGAGGCGGTCAGGCCGGTGGTCAAGTCACGTCAGGGGGGTTTTACGGTTGTCGGTACAGACGGCGCGGCCGGCGCGGCTATGAAATATTGTACCACCATTCTACAAGCAGAATGGAAGGGTTATCTCGTTTGATGTTCGTCTTGGGATCCGAGCAAGCACGACGGAAATGAAGGAGACGTGTTGGGGAAAAGGGGAGAGAGTGGGAGCAGAGGCGGACGGGGTGCGACGTGCCGGAGGGCCGCGTGGGAGTTTCGGGGTGGGGCTGAGAGACAGAGAGAGACAGACAAGACGCGGTCGGTTCATGGGTTTGTTTACATTTTGGGCTGAGTTGAGGTGAGCTCCGGGCGTGTCACGGTCGGTTGGTCAGGGATGTCACGTGCCTCCTCCGCCAGCCGCCCGGGATCCTTCGGGGAGTTATTTCTAGAAAGCAAGAAGTGCCTGCGGTGTTTTGTTCCTGTTGCCTGGTGCTTTTCTCGTGACGTTGTGATGCGAAAGAGATTTGTTGCATGGTGGTTCAGTTGTCGGTATGGCTCGTTGGTTGTGGGCTGACTTGGCCTGGCGTCAGATGAGACTTGAACCGCCCGCTGACCCTATTGGACGCGGCGTTAATCGCAACATCGACTCAGTCAACTTGGCTGCACAGACCGCTGGACGAACACGCTTTTGGTGAACGCAGGTACCAAACAATTCCCAAGACTCTGGAACTCGAGGTTTGGAGGACCTGTCGCGGAGTATTTTGAGCATGGTTTTCACGGGTTGATTGCGTTGTTTGGACTCTTCCCTGGACTTGTCGTCAGCGTGCCTGAGTGGACATCGCCGTTGGGTTTTGTGATGCACGACGACGGCCACGGCGAGTTCTAGGCAGGGCGGCCGTCTGACACGTGCGGCGAGCGGACGGCGCCACACCAGTGGCCGGGACCCGTCCCATCCACACCGATCATACGGATCTTGAGCCGGGCAGAGGGGCGACTTTTGTTGGGCGAGCGTCATTTGATCATCTGACTTGCTGCTGTCACTGACGATGAGGGTCGTCCGCTCGTTTGCACGGAGGAGCAAGATCAGGGACAGGCAGACTTGGAACTGCTGGTGCAGTCGAGTCATACTGACCGGTGCCTGCTGCTCCACTGCTGAGAGTTCTCGTATGTTGGCCATCTCTAGAAATCTCAGTCATCTTTACGACGAGAACGCGCACAGTAAACGGCGATGCTTATTAGGCTTCAGGTGGCGATGCGGGGAAGGCTGGCTTGAAGAAAAGGCGAAGCGAGACAGGGCGAGCGAGCGGGTGGGCGGTTACGGGCCATGGTGCAACGGTGTCAAATGTCGAGCTCGGAGACCAGAGGCGCAGGATTTCACCGCGGCCCAAGGGCATCACCTCTGTGTGCGCCGTCACCGTCACACCAACGGGTGGTGGTCCTGGTGCTGGTGTCGGTGCTCTGCAGCTCATCAGTCGGCCGGGAGCAGTGCGCTGCAGGTTGCGGCAAGTGCAGAGTTGAGAGGTGATTGTTCCGTGGCGGAAGAGAGGTGGGCGTGCTGGATGTGCAAGGAGTGACGTGGATAGCTAGCCCCGAGCTTGCTTCCCATTGGTGTTCCTGAAACAAACCTTCATGTTTGGAGGGGGGAGGACAGAGAGAATTCGGGCGAGGTGTCGAGGGAGGTAGCGGGTACATGGAGTACTTTGTGCGAGTCTTGTTAGGTGAGGTGTGTCGAGACGGGAGCTGGGCTGATGAGTGACGTGCAAGCGCCGACGAGGTCGATGGATGATGGGTGCGGCGGCATTGAGCTGTCTGTCAGAAGCGGCGAGAAGAATCCGATGAATCGAGTGTCACTGGGCAGCGGGATTCTGGTTTAATGCTCAATGGCAGATTCCGTTGACCATGTCCCCTACCGGCGCTGGTTCCGGGTCGGGATCCCTGTCGTCAATCCGGAACACGACGAGCGACAGGTGCAGGGTGCAACCGTACAGGCGGTCGGGGGCCTGATGATGGAGCGAGTGAGTGGTCGAGGTGTTGACGACGGAGGAGGGGTCGTGTCGAGGAGCTGAGGCTGGGATGGAGCATGATGTCGAGGGTCGAGGTCGAGGGAATGTGCTTGTCTGCAAGTCACAGTGTGGCCGGTGTGAGGCGAGATGGGAGGAGAAGCATTGGGTGACGAGAAGAGACGAGGTGAAAGAGGGTGGATGGAAGCTTTGCATCTAAAATGAGAGACGAAGAGGCTCGAGGATAGGTGACGTTGAGAGTGAGGAAACAGTGTGAAGCAGCACTGGAGGAGGGACCTGATAGTGAGGTGCAGTACGCACTGATCAAACAGCAGCGTTCAGAGAATGGCGCCGGTGGTGTTAGTGGCTGGCCTGTGCGATGCGATGCCCATGTTGCTTCCCGTCTGTTTCGGGGTATGTGGGGAGGAGGGACCTACCTGTGTACCTTTCCTTCTTGCCCGCTAGGGACGCAGTGCCATCGACATCGACACTACAGAGGGCAGGAACAGAAACGGGAGGGAAGTACCGGCCGTGTAGCGATACGGGGCATATGCGTGGCAGGTACCTACCTTACTTTGAGGGGTTCCTTCAATTTGCGCCTGTGCTACGGTACCTCACTTTGAAGCATTCTCCGACGGCAAGCACGAGGCAGGAGACAGCAACCCAGGAAAGAGCGCGGTGCAGATACAAGCACCTCAGTCGAGACTTGCCTCCGTTGCTGCTGCTGCTGCTGCTGCTGCTGCTGCTGCGGGTTGACCGAGCTGCACTGAATCTGGAACGAGAAACTGCAATTCTGCAACTTGAGGAAAGTGGGCATCAAGGATCCAAGACTGGTGGACGTGACCAACTCATGCAAGTGCGAAAGTATGTGAATTGCAGAGGAAGGAAGGAGTCGTCGGCAACGACGTGGACGTGGACGTGGAGGGATTTCATCATCCTCCCCCACCCAGGTCCCATCAAAAGTGTCGTCAATCACCACCGTCCGCCGTCTGTCGCTTCGCTACCACCCGCTTCCTAGCAAGGCACCACCCTACCTTACCCTACGTGCCTGCCCGCTTATTACCTCCCCTCGTCCATCATCTGCATCGTCCGTCCTACAGATACCAGTACCTGCGATAAGCAAATACTGATAGCTGCTGCAACTCTACGCCTACCTTATCCGTATCTCCTTCGCTCTCACTCCCTTCCTCGCACTTCGCACTCTGCCTCTGGCCCCTCCTGCTCCAATATTCCCTGGCTCAAATCCCGGGCGGCCCCCCCCCCAAAACGAGAGAAGGCCAGGCCGTCATCCAACCAGCTTCCCCTCCTCCTGTCCAATCTTGTCTTCCACCGCCCAAAAGAAGCCGGCCGACCTGATCGCAAGCCAACCCAACGACGTCGAGACGGCCACCACCAGCCAGCACTGCCACTACACCACCACCAATTTCCACCGGCTATACCTTAATACCTCACCTCAGCAGATACCAGATACCAGGCAATAGATTCCAGACACCAGACACCACCCAGCCAGCAGTTTTCAGGCCTCTGCTCTACGTCGACCACCGACCGATTAGTCCCGCTGCCGCCGTCGGGCACAGCTCTGTCGTCTGCTGTCGCATATCCGTCTGCTGCCAAACATTTCTAACGCTCGAATCCCCCTTGCTTAGATACATTGCAGGTAAGCAGAGAATGGCCCCCGTTTTCCCACTTGGTCTGCCCGTCACCCTGACCCCAAAATCCAAAACTCCGTCGCCTTGCGATTGCACTGTCTCCCTACCGATTCTTCCGGCCGCCTCGACTGACACCGCCCGCAGTCCCCGAACCCCCTCCAGTTACCAATCCGACCCTCCAGCTCCTCCCCTCGTCCAACAATACCGCTCCATAATCGAATTCCTCTCCCTCCACGCCGGAAATCCTCCATCTCGCTGTTGCCTACGTACACAGCGTCATCCTGGCGATTACGTCCTTCCTTTGGGAGTTGACGATGGCGGCTGCCTAATACTTGCCTCGACATTTCTTGCACGACTTGAACCCACTCCGCCCTTCCCGAACCACCGCCCGCCGCAATCATGGCCTCCGAACACAACCCTTTCCGCAGGAAGACCACCTCGACTTCCTTCTCTTCTACCCCTCAGCCTGTCACCACATCTGCCTTTCTCGAATCCATTACATCCGGAATCTCGAGGGATAACGCTCCCTCGCCTCCCGAGGTTCGACCCGCGAAAGCCAAGGTTGTCAAAAGGGTAAGGGTGTTGTCTCCGCCGCCCTCCTCGCCTTCCTCCCCCGAATCGGTGCACAGCAGAGGCTTTGGACGTCAAGACGACAGTAGCGACGACGGCTCAGACGACGAT